GCCTACGTGAGACCTGTCTTAGAATATGCCGCCCCATCATGGAGTCCCCATCTAAAGAAACACATAAGGAAACTGGTAAAAGTTCAGAAGTTTGCGACGAGGCTCGTCCCAGAGTTGCAAGTGATCAGATATGAAAAGCGACTGAAAGAACTGAACCTGATGACGTTAGAAAAAAGAAGGGAAAGGGGGGGATATGATAGGAACGTATACAATACTCTGGGGAATTGACAAAGTGGAAATAGAAGAAATGTCACACGGAATACTAAGAGAACGAGGGGACATGGGTGGAAGCTGGAAGCTCAGATGAGTCACAGAGAAGTTATGAAGTTTTCTTTTAGCGTGAGAGTAGTGGAAAATGGAATGAACTTAAGGAGCAGGTTGTGGAAGCAAATTCTATTCATAATTGTAAGGCTAGATATGATAGGGAAATTGGACAGGAATCATTGCTGTAAACAACCGATGGCTAGAAAGGCGGGATCCAAGAGTCAATGCTCGATCCTGCAGGCACAAATAGGTGAGTACACACACACACACACACACACACACACACACACACACACACACACACACACAAATAAATATATGAGAGGTTACTTGTCTATCGATCAGTCTTTGGTAGCATCTATTGGGACGCAGAGTTTGATCATAACTACATGTGTCAGTGCAATTGACTCAGGTACACGGCGCTTATTTTCATTATCAAGAGCAACATCTTACATCATTAAAAGGAATCAACTCAACACACCGGCCTCAGGGATCACAACACACCGGCCTCAGGGATCACAACACACCGGCCTCAGGGATCACAACACACCGGCCTCAGGGATCACAACACACCGGCCTCAGGGATCACAACACACCGGCCTCAGGGATCACAACACACCAGCCTCAGGGATCACAACACACCAGCCTCAGGGATCACAACACACCAGCCTCAGGGATCACACACACCAGCCTCAGGGATCACAACACACCAGCCTCAGGGATCACAACACACCAGCCTCAGGGATCACAACACACCAGCCTCAGGGATCACAACACACCAGCCTCAAGGGCCTCAGGGATCACAACACACCAGCCTCAGGGATCACAACACACCAGCCTCAGGGATCACAACACACCAGCCTCAGGGATCACACACACCGGCCTCAGGGATCACAACACACCGGCCTCAGGGATCACAACACACCAGCCTCAGGGATCACAACACACCGGCCTCAGGGATCACAACACACCGGCCTCAGGGATCACAACACACCGGCCTCAGGGATCACAACACACCAGCCTCAGGGATCACAACACACCGGCCTCAGGGATCACAACACACCGGCCTCAGGGATCACAACACACCGGCCTCAGGGATCACAACACACCGGCCTCAGGGATCAATGTTACTGCTGGGCCAAACTTTTTGTTTTAAACAGGCTATAAAAACACTTACCTCAGTGACAATTCAAAACATATCATGCTAGGAAGGAAAATGAGCTCCGATCGCTGAGTCATGCACAACAACAGTACAATCGTTGAGTCATGGACAACAACAATACAATCGCTGAGTCATGCACAACAACAGTACAATCGTTGAGTCATGGACAACAACAATACAATCGCTGAGTCATGCACAACAACAGTACAATCGTTGAGTCATGGACAACAACAATACAATCGTTGAGTCATGGACAACAACAGTACAATCACTGAGTCATGCACAACAACATTACAATCGTTGAGTCATGCACAACAACAGTACAATCGTTGAGTCATGGACAACAACAGTACAATCGTTGAGTCATGGACAACAACAGTACAATCGTTGAGTCATGGACAACAACAGTACAATCGCTGTCATTCACAACAACAATACAATCGCTGAGTCATGCACAACAGTACAATCGCTGAGTCATGCACAACAACAGTACAATCGTTGAGTCATGGACAACAATACAATCGCTGAGTCATGGACAACAATAATACAATCGTTGAGTCATGAACAACAATAATGCAATCGCTGAGTCATGCACAACAACAATACAATCGCTGAGTCATGGACAACAATAATACAATCGTTGAGTCATGAACAACAATAATACAATCGCTGAGTCATGCACAACAACAATACAATCGCTGAGTCTGCACAACAGTACAATCGCTGTCATGCACAACAACAGTACAATCAGAGTCATGCACAACAATAATACAATCGCTGAGTCATGGACAACAATAATACAATCGCTGAGTCATGCACAACAACAGTACAATCGTTGAGTCATGGACAACAACAATACAATCGCTGAGTCATGGACAACAACAATACAATCGCTGAGTCATGACAACAATAATACAATCGCTGAGTCATGCACAACAACAGTACAATCGTTGAGTCATGGACAACAACAATACAATCGCTGAGTCATGCACAATACAATCCATCATAGTTACGTGAAGAGATACGATTCAAAGTTCCATCGTCAAAGGTGAAATTCTTTCCACAGTTCAAAGGACAAACAAAACGATAAACAGGAATAGACCCGACACACACTATATTTGATCACCAAGCCTGTGATGTCTGGCAAATACCGCGGACAGCCTAAGAAGGCCTAATATAATCCGTAGTTTACAGTACGCTAATGGCTATTGCAGCTAATAATTATCAAGCGATGGCATATAGGCCTAAATAACTAACTAACAACACACTGGAAACTATACAATCTGCCCTGTTACAACTTACGTCTGAATTTGGCCGTTTGCCCACGGCCGAAAATGGACGTAATTTAAAAATAAAAAATAATTTAAATTAAATTTTGGATTTGTTGTTTTCTAAAACAGCAAATTAAAGGTCCTCTTGTAGGCTTGGAGGGCAGGAAGTTCTCCTAAGGTTTATAAACATCTTGAAAATCGTTAATTGAAAGTTTCCTCACCTAACCTAACCGAGTAAGTCGGAGGACTCAAAACAGAAAACGGGATATTACGTCACTTTCGTGAGCTGATTTCATTTCAAATTACGTCCAATTTTGGCCATAGCGCGCATACCCGCGAAAAGCGACGTTATTTTAATAGGACGGGTTCCATATACAGCAACACATTCTGAACAAGAATAGTCTGTGTTTAGTTAATTTACAAGAATGAGGAGTGTCTATATTTATTTATTTTGAAAACAAAAAATGCTAATGTCATACGTTCAGAACATGTGCAGCCTATTCTTAGTAGGATGTTAAGAACAAGGGAAGTCTGTTCTTAGTAAATCTTCAATAACTAATCTAGTTGTAGTAATGGTAACAAGAAGAGCCTGTGTTAAGTGTCAAGTGTGTTAAGTGACAAGTATGTTAAGTGACAAGTGTGGTAAGTGTTAAGGGACAAATGTATTAAGCTTTAGGTGACAAATGTATTAAGCTTTAGGTGACAAGTGTGGTAAGTGTTAAGTGAGAAGTGCGTTAAGTGTTAAGTGACAAGTGTGGTAAGTGTTAAGTGACAAATGTATTAAGCTTTAGGTGACAAGTGTGGTAAGTGTTAAGTGAGAAGTGCGTTAAGTGTTACGTGACAAGTGTGGTAAGTATTAAGTGACAACTGACAAGTGTGTTAAGTCACAAGTTGAGAACCAAAGTGCACGTGGTAAAGATCGCGGGACTCACAGTAGCCCAGGCTGGGTGACACCAGTGGCGTCCCAGGCTGGGTGACACCAGTGGCGTCCCAGGCTGGGTGACACCAGTGGCGTCCCAGGCTGGGTGACACCAGTGGCGTCCCAGGCTGGGTGACACCAGTAGCGTCCCAGGCTGGGTGACACCAGTGGCGTCCCAGGCTGGGTGACACCAGTGGCCCAGGCTGGGTGACACCAGTGGCGTCCCAGGCTGGGTGACACCAGTGGCGTCCCAGGCTGGGTGACACCAGTGGCGTCCCAGGCTGGGTGACACCAGTGGCGTCCCAGGCTGGACACTAAGCTGACCACTAAGACACCTACATGACACCACTAAGCTGACCACTAAGATAGCTATGTGACACATTAAGCTGACCACTAAGATAGCTATGTGACACATTAAGCTGACCACTAAGACACCTACGTGACACCACTAAGCTGACCACTAAGATAGCTATGTGACACCACTAAGCTGACCACTAAGACACCTACGTGACACCACTAAGCTGACCACTAAGACACCTACGTGACACCACTAAGCTGACCACTAAGATAGCTATGTGACACCACTAAGATAGTATGTCTAGTAATACACTTAGAACCATGAAAATTTAAAGCGTCTTAAAAAGTTAAAGAGAGAATAGTCTGCATTAGATGAATAAATTCAAGCTTTATGACAATAAAATTACTTTATTCAAAAAATATAAATGAATAAGCCTATAATAAATTATACAATTTGAATGGGTTGTTCATAACCAAATAAAAAATGTAATATAAACACTGAAACCTATATTATCTAATATTATTCTACATTACGTTCTACATTACATAATAAATAATGTAATATAGAATTGCGTGACATATCTATATGTAAATATATCTATATGTAAATACGGAGGCAATACAATGGGAAGAAGCCCACGTGGCAACCCTGGTCAGCGCCTGGGGAGACCAGACCCGGGGGTTCGATCCCATTGTGCGACTTTAGTATTCACTTAATATTACTATGAATAGTGAAAAGAAAAAAATAATATATATAATTTCACAGGTCTATGGCTTCAGGTTAACTAGATATTAAAACTGAAACAAGTGAAAATATCAAAGTTAAGCTTTGTTCTAGCCCGCAGGTTCTCGCTGTTTACTAGAAACCATTGACGTCTTGTGAAACATTAAACTGTTAACTGCACCAGGCAAAGCTGCATAGCCACTCAAGAGCATTTAGAGAAGGATTCTGTGCTGGAAAAAGGAGAGTGGAAGCTTTGTGGTGTTGAGGCCTGCTGGCGACCTCCACAGGTGAAAGAGGTGCAGACGAGAGCCAGCGGCACTCTGGAGACTGTAAGCAACAGGTAAGTTGTCAAGTGATACTTACGTAATTTCCCATTTGCAGGAAGTTGGAGAAGCCATCGTTCATGCCGTAGTGATCCATGGCCATGAAGAGAGTATTGACGACGATACATAGAGTGATGAACAGCTCAACAAAAGCATCGAACACTAGTAACTCAACATACTCTGCAAACTTGACCCACACCGCACAACAGTCCCAAACACAGAAGAGGTCAATGCATTTCAGCAAATACTCTAATAGTTTTTTCTTGATTTTTTCCTTAAAGGTTTCTTCCTCCTCTTCTGCGGGGAAATAATAGATGGAAACTATAAAATGCGTTAGTAATTGTTCTTAAACCCAGGGAGGAGGGACGGCACAGATACTAGCTACGAGAGCGGGGCCAGTGAGCCTCGTTGTGTACAAGGGTGGTGTTCTGAGTGACGGTCTGAGTGACGGTCTGAGTGACGTCTGAGTGACGCTCCAGGGGACCCCCTCAACACTAAGCCAACAAAGGCCACGAGCCTCGCCCTACACAGACACAGACAAGCTACGAGAGGGGGATCCGGAGAGGACGAAGAGAGAAATTAGAAGTATTAGTAAATATTAGAGGTGGAGAGGAGAGAGAGACTGTGCCTCCATCCTCATGCCGGGCTGCGGGGAGGAAGCCACAAGTATTGGGTAAATATCCTTAGTCCTAACTCTACCCTTCTCTTAGTATTATATATTGTCTCAACTTACACTACTCTACCATTTACGTTACTATTGTAAATAATACTTATTTGTTTCTATATTCTAACTGGCAATGAACTTAAGTCTTAAACAATGAATTTATTCTTTATTGAAAATGATAAGGAACTTTGTTGCAAATGGCTATAAACTTTATATTCTAAAAAGCAATAAACTTACTCTTTATTCTAAATGGCATATAACTTACTATTTTATTCTATGACAATAAGCCTATTATACCAAATTATCTGGTCATACTCTTTTCTCTAAATCAGCGATCGCCAACCGGTGGTCCACGGACCACTGGTGGTCCACGGACCACTGGTGGTCCACCAGACAATTTCATACATGTGAATTGTATGTAACTGTATATTTTATTTAACTGTTACATTTAATAGCATCAAATAGTTGACTTTAATAACTATCATTTCTTGTTTGGTGGACCCTGGGATTCATATTAGTGGTCCGTGGGATTCATATTAGTGGTCCGTGGGATTCATATTAGTGGTCCGTGGGATTCATATTAGTGGTCCGTGGGATTCATATTAGTGGTCCGTGGGATTCATATTAGTGGTCCGTGGGATTCATATTAGTGGTCCGTGGGATTCATATTAGTGGTCCGTGGGATTCATATTAGTGGTCCGTGGGATTCATATTAGTGGTCCGTGGGATTTACAGTTATGAATTTGGTGATCGGTGAGGCCCGAAAGATTGGCGACCGCTGCTCTAAATCGTTCTTATCTTACTTTAATATTTTACATTATATTTCTGTTATAAGACTTGGTGACCCGTTACCCACGCGCTCGTCTGATTTACTTTGGATCTTTTATTTCTATTTTTACACCATCTGCTTGTTATATTAGCCTTTTTTATGTTAGCCTTTATTATGTTGGCCTTTTTTATGTTAGCCTTTATTATGTTATCGTTTTTATGCTTGACTTTTTCATATGTTAGTTTTTCGCGTGTTAGCCTTTATTATGTTGGCCTTTTTATATGTTAGCCTTTTTCCATGTTAGCCTTTTTCCATGTTAGCCTTTTTCCATGTTAGCCTTTTTCCATGTTAGCCTTTTTCCATGTTAGCCTTTTTCCATGTTAGCCTTTTTTATTTTAGCCTTTTTTATGTCATCCTTTTTCATGGTTAGCCTTTTTAAATATGTTAGCCTTTTTATGCTATCTTTAACAATCCCGATGATCAATACGGTTTGTTCTGCTCATCTCCAGCTCACTAATTCATGATTGTGACCTCTTTGGTGACTGGGTATTGTTCTTTGTAGGTGCTGTTGAGTATTGACTCGTGTTAAGGTGTTCACTACGCTAGAACACTCTAACATGTTCTTCAGTGGTGGTCTGTTGTTCATCATGTTCCTCAGTGGTGGTCTGTTGTTCATCATGTTCCTCAGTGGTGGTCTGTTGTTCATCATGTTCCTCAGTGGTGGTCTGTTGTTCATCATGTTCCTCAGTGGTGGTCTGTTGTTCATGTTCTACAGTGGTGGTCTGGTGTTCATGTGCTTCAGTGGTGGTCTGTTGTTCATCATGTTCCTCAGTGGTGGCCTGTTGTTCATGTTCTACAGTGGTGGTCTGGTGTTCATGTGCTTCAGTGGTGGTCTGTTGTTCATCATGTTCCTCAGTGGTGGTCTGTTGTTCATCATGTTCCTCAGTGGTGGTCTGTTGTTCATCATGTTCCTCAGTGGTGGTCTGTTGTTCATCATGTTCCTCAGTGGTGGTCTGTTGTTCATCATGTTCCTCAGTGGTGGTCTGTTGTTCATCATGTTCCTCAGTGGTGGTCTGTTGTTCATCATGTTCCTCAGTGGTGGTCTGTTGTTCATCATGTTCCTCAGTGGTGGTCTGTTGTTCATCATGTTCCTCAGTGGTGGTCTGTTGTTCATCATGTTCCTCAGTGGTGGTCTGTTGTTCATCATGTTCCTCAGTGGTGGTCTGTTGTTCATCATGTTCCTCAGTGGTGGTCTGTTGTTCATCATGTTCCTCAGTGGTGGTCTGTTGTTCATCATGTTCCTCAGTGGTGGTCTGTTGTTCATCATGTTCCTCAGTGGTGGTCTGTTGTTCATCATGTTCCTCAGTGGTGGTCTGTTGTTCATCATGTTCCTCAGTGGTGGTCTGTTGTTCATCATGTTCCTCAGTGGTGGTCTGTTGTTCATCATGTTCCTCAGTGGTCTGTTGTTCATCATGTTCCTCAGTGGTGGTCTGTTGTTCATGTTCCTCAGTGGTGGTCTGGTGTTCCTCAGTGGTGGTCTGTTGTTCATCATGTTCCTCAGTGGTGGTCTGTTGTTCATGTTCTCAGTGGTGGTCTGGTGTTCATGTGCTTCAGTGGTCTGTTGTTCATCATGTTCCTCAGTGGTGGTCTGTTGTTCATGTTCTACAGTGGTGGTCTGGTGTTCATGTGCTTCAGTGGTGGTCTGTTGTTCATCATGTTCCTCAGTGGTGGTCTGTTGTTTCATGTTCCTCAGTGGTGGTCTGTTGTTCATGTGCTTCAGTGGTGGTCTGTTGTTCATCATGTTCCTCAGTGGTGGTCTGTTGTTCATCATGTTCCTCAGTGGTGGTCTGTTGTTCATCATGTTCCTCAGTGGTGGTCTGTTGTTCATCATGTTCCTCAGTGGTGGTCTGTTGTTCATCATGTTCCTCAGTGGTGGTCTGTTGTTCATCATGTTCCTCAGTGGTGGTCTGTTGTTCATCATGTTCCTCAGTGGTGGTCTGTTGTTCATCATGTTCCTCAGTGGTGGTCTGTTGTTCATCATGTTCCTCAGTGGTGGTCTGTTGTTCATCATGTTCCTCAGTGGTGGTCTGTTGTTCATCATGTTCCTCAGTGGTGGTCTGTTGTTCATCATGTTCCTCAGTGGTCTGTTGTTCATCATGTTCCTCAGTGGTGGTCTGTTGTTCATCATGTTCCTCAGTGGTGGTCTGTTGTTCATCATGTTCCTCAGTGGTGGTCTGTTGTTCATCATGTTCCTCAGTGGTGGTCTGTTGTTCATCATGTTCCTCAGTGGTGGTCTGTTGTTCATGTGCTTCAGTGGTGGTCTGTTGTTCATCATGTTCCTCAGTGGTGGTCTGTTGTTCATCATGTTCTTTAGTGGTGGTCTGTTGTTCATCATGTTCTTTAGTGGTGGTCTGTTGTTCATCATGTTCCTCAGTGGTGGTCTGTTGTTCATGTTCCTCAGTGGTGGTCTGTTGTTCATGTGCTTCAGTGGTGCTCTGTTGTTCATCATGTTCTTTAGTGGTGGTCTGTTGTGCATCATGTTCTTTAGTGGTGGTCTGTTGTTCATGTGCTTCAGTGGTGTTCTGTTGTGCATCATGTTCTTTAGTGATCTGTTGTTCATCATGTTCTTTAGTGGTGGTCTGTTGTTCATCATGTTCCTCAGTGGTGGTCTGTTCATGTTCTACAGTGGTGGTCCGTTGTTCATGTTCTTCAGTGGTGGTCCGTTGTTCATCATATTCCTCAGTGGTGGTCTGTTGTTCATCATGTTCTTCAGTGGTCTGTTGTTCATCATGTTCCTCAGTGATCAGTTGTTCATCATGCTCTTCAGTGGTGGTCTGTTGTTCATCATGTTCTTCAGTGGTGGTCTGTTGTTCATCATATTCTTCAGTGGTCTGTTGTTCATCATGTTCCTCAGCAGTGGTCTGTTGTTCATCATGTTCCTCAGCAGTGGTCTGTTGTTCATCATGTTCCTCAGCAGTGGTCTGTTGTTCATCATGTTCTTCAGTAGTGGTCTGTTGTTCATCATGTTCCTCAGTGATCAGTTGTTCATCGTGCTCTTCAGTGGTGGTCTGTTGTTCATTATGTTCCTTGTGGAGGCCCGTTGTTCATGTTAAGATGCTGATACTGAGGCTGGAGACACCAAGGCCATCCTCTCACCACACAGTCTGGCGCGGGCGTGCAAGCAGGTCACCATTCTCTGATTTACTGAACTAATTACTAAATTCCTTGACTAATTCACATAGCTGCCTAGGTATTTCTGCTCTCCTTACTCTTAGATATGAAAAATAACTATTTCCTAATAGTCAACACACAATAAATCATTCAAATTGATGGGACAGTTTATTAATAATTTGATTATTAGACGCGTCATAATTAACTGGACTGTCGACAAACAGTTGTTAATTAACAGCGCTACTTGTCGTTTCGTAAGACGGTCGTCATGAAATTACTCTGGGGTGGCGGCTACAACGATAATAATTGATTATAGACCTTACTTATTGTAGATGTGACCTTGGCGTCCTGCGATAACCTAGTCCTGGTGACCATCACATCCAGTGAAGTTAGGCTTCACTGGCCGGTACGCTTGGTAGACGCCCCCTCTACATGCGCATGACGGGGGCGCCCGGAGGTTCTCTCACACACACAAGAGCGTGTGGGTGGGTGGACCCGGCGCCTGACGGAGGGCGATATATGCCATGCGGGCCTTGACGGAGAAAGAAACTACGTACGAGGTAGAGTAGAGGATATTAACGAACACCGCAGCCACTTGCGGTAAGTGTCGTATGACCGCGACAGGTGAGCGCGGGGAGCCGCGTCGCGCTAGCGTCGGCGTCTGGGAGGGGGTCGACGGAGGCCTATAAGCCATGTGGTGGTTGTCAAGGTGAACAA